TACTTGGAAAATGTCACAATATTTATCTATTGAATTATGTTGTATGGTACATGAATATATGGCACATAACTATTAACAATTTCTTGCTAAATCCACGTGTCTTGCTATAAATAACATTACATATATTAATTCCTCCTAACCCAATATTTAAAGATATGCTGAATTCTAGCATCGCCTATACAATTTCTTATGTGTGTGTGTGTGTGTGCGTGCGTATATTTGAATCAGTTTTTGACGCCTGGTGATTGCCTGGACTAGTCCCTGAAGATTTCTTAGCAAAGTTTTTTGAAGTGGTTTGCCCTTACCTTCCTCCTAGGGCTGAGAAAGACTGGCCTAAGGTCACCCAGCTGACTTCATACCTAAGTTAGTCTCCTGCTTTCTAGTCTGATGCCTTAGCCCGTGTCACTCTACTAAACTGGCTCTTATCATGGATTTTAGGTGAGAAAAAATGAATAACTTTACTGCTGTATATTATGGTTTTTATGCTTGATTCAGTAGATGTGTAAAGTAGTCTAATCTCTGGGAAGTAAGACTCAAGATGCTTGATGAATGAAACAGAACCTACTGTCTATACCCAACTTGACAAACACTAGTCCAGGCACAAATTTTGGAAAATTATTCCTCTCAAATGACCAGAATTTCATAAAAATGTTGCTTCACAAGCCTGGATAGATAAGAAAGCCAGCAATAATCCCACATTATCCTAAGAGTATCTGGCTAGAGCCTGCCATGAGTATCAATTAGCTACTATTTCATACTACTGCAGCACAAGCCATTCTATAACCATAGTCTATCTACTACTTAAGATGCCCCATCTGAAATAATTATATCAATAATTCTATAAATAATTTTCCCAATGTAAATGATACAACTCCTCTGTGAAATTATTAAAAATAAGGCATGAATTATTTGAGTAACTATTTGAGTATGCCAGAAGGAAAAGATTTCATACAGATATTAATTCCCAATGCATATTTAATGATATCCAAAACAAGGACTACTTTATTCAAAACCTGTGATAAATACATCAAGTAGACACAAAGCAAATTGTTAAGTGAGAGTGCTCATATAGTTAAAGAAATCAAAAACTTTTGATAGACAATGAGATTAATTTTCTGTCAGTAAAATAAAATCCAATTCCTTTACAAAACAGGTAACATTTTAAAGCTCAGGTCTTCTTTAAAAAAATCATCATATTAATGTCTCTTAAGTATATTGGAGAATATACATGTTTGAAAGCACAGAAAAATTGAAAATAAAGGTATTGGTGTAATGGATAAAGAATAAATCCTCATTCTGCCATATAAAACTTGTCTTTCTCTCACTACATATTATGAGTAGGGTTGAGATTCAGCTGGTTCGGGTGAACCGGATGTTAAATTTACATCTGATTTGCCAAACTGGTAGTTGAACCAACCGGCTGGCGCTGCCCACCCCTTCCTTCCCCTCCCTGGAGTCTCCACGTGGCCCATTTGGGATGCAGGTAAGTGCAGGGTCCACGTGGAGGCTCTAGAAGGGCAAAAAATGGCTCCCAGGCCTGTTTCCGGCTTCCAGAGGACCTCTGGAGCATGGAGAAGGCCGTTTTCACCCTCCCAGAGGCGCAAAGGAACCTCCGCACTCTGGGGAAGGCGAAAAACGCCGTCCCAGAAGTTCCAGTATGACACACGTACCATGGCCACGCCCACCCAACAACTGGCCAGAGAACTGGTTGTTGGGATTTTTGAATCCCACCTCGATTATGAGACAAAAAATATAAGTCAGAATTCCTGAAATGATATCACAGAATGACCTAGAGTGCTATATAATTTGAATCATAATTAAGAAATGATCGATCAGCTCCAATATCCCATCTAATAAAATTTTAAACTGTATCTCAGATGTGGAACAAAGCAGCAAAATGGGGCAAATAAATCAAACTATGTTAATTGGTGACTTGCAAGTAGGCAAAAATGAGATGGATCCATCAAAGACCCCAGCCCCATATTTTATAAAACTGTATTTTATAATATGAAGAAAACTAACATGATTTACATTTTATCACTTTATATACCTGCATGGGCCATACTGTCTAGTTAAACTAAAATAAATTTTATTTATATGAAATCAAAATTAGCTTTTATTAAGCTTTATTAGTCAGATTAAAATCCTGCTCTTAATTGAGAAACACTAGATAGTTTACGCAGGCATCCTTTTTATTTTATTCATAACTTAGAACAATTCAAAACTGACTGAGATAAATCTAGTGAACTCCCATCACTGAAATTGGGCTTGAACCTAAATGAATACCTAACCTCTAAACCACACTCCATTTTGTGTACTTTTTTTTTTTTTGGGGGGGGGGGGGGGCGGGCTCCACCAAGTTCTTCAGCTTACTATTTTCTTTTTTTTTTTCTAATGTTTTCCTACAAGTGCAGGGTCTGCTTTTGGGCGGAATCAAATATAAATCCATTGCTTACAACTGAAATTGACCAACTGAATTATTACCTGAGCCTGACGTTGTGGGCTGAGACAGATTAACTGTCAAGTTTTCATACTTAAGGAAGAACTAGAATTCATAGTCTTATGGTTTCTAGGCTGGTGCTTTAACCATCAGACCAAATGGGTCTGAGGGCCCAGCTTTCTATGTGCTATTATACTCTGACCCTGTGATGACCCGGGGAGATACAAAATAAACACAGTCACAAAAACCCGGTGAAGCCCCTTTTATTCCTTCACTTTGCTTCCAAGCTCCAACTATCCTTGATGGAAGACAAAAAACTCCCACACAAGCAGTTACAAGAAGGAGGGAAAAAACAACACAAACCAGGCAAGATAAGGGCTGGAAGACGTCCACAGATAACAGAACATACACTGGGAAGGACTCCAAACTCAGAGAGGAACCATAAACTAGAGATATTTCCTTGCTTTGTTTCCAGCGCTCGCATGTATGCACGTCCGTCTTCTTATTCAGTTGTCACAGCTGCAGCCCATGAAGAGGATCAATGCCCTCTCCTCCCGAATAGACCATGTCTCTCCCTTATCCTCTCCTCCCTGCGTGCCCTCGGATGGAGAGGCCTGGGTCCCCCTCTGACTGCTCAGCCAGCCTCTGCCCTTCCCTCTGGCTGGCCTCTGCCAGCTTCTTCCACAACCTCCGGAGCCATACTTCCACTCCCGGTCGGCTGTTCCTCCTCTCCCTCAGAGTCAGTCTCCACCAGGGGCCTGACGGACCCTATTTAGAAACTCATAGAATGGGGATAAAATGAACAAAATAATGAGGAAAGATCAGATGTAATTTGTAATTGCAATTAGCTTGAGGGGAACGTAGTTGGCACCTCATTCAAAATGGCCTTTTTTACCAAGCAGACTGAATTTCTGTCATTATTATATATTTGTAACAAAGTGTCAGATGAGAGGAGAGAGAATAATGTGGTGATGAAGAGTGGGCCCTGAATTTATGATCCAGATATAGATGGAAAATTGACATTATTAAATATCCCTGTCCACATGAATTTACTTCCACATGAAACCACTTCGATTAAGCTGCTTTTTGCAACAACTTTTCAAACAAACAAGCTCATATCAAAAAAGTATTAGAGTGTGAAAGCTTTCTATGTTCTCATGAATAGCTGGATGGAAAAGGAGTGAATATAAAGCACTTGGAAGGTGAGGAGACTTGGCCTTGACACAGAGTATCTCCCTGTTTTTGTGAAGATGAATAGATTGTGATTGTGACTAGCATCTGCCACTGTACTGATAAACTAGCATCTGCCACTGTACAGCGCTACCCAACCGCATGGCAACTGGTTTTTTGAGACCTCTGCCTCTCCTTTGTGGCTTTGGCACATGTTTATGACATGAAGCAAGAATCCAGTGCTACCCATATATTCCTGAAGCAGTACAGTTAAGAGTAGTGCAAGCTCTTACAAAATAATTGTATACAGTTGCAGAGTATAACCATCAGTATATGTAAGCAATTATCTAAAATATTAATATTTACTAGTAATCGCTCAAAAATATAAATGCTGTAATTAAAAGATTCAAAGGAACAGCAATATAAACAAAAAAGAAATCAACAGAGGACTGTTTTAAAGCAGCCTGAATGTGATTCCAATTACCATGATAGACAATTGCTTTATTTCCTTAGCTAACAACTGTGTCATTGATATTTTTTGTCAGTATTTAGTCTATTTTTTCCCCACTCTACAAGAGCCAGAACAAGACCAGAATAAAATGATACATAATAAGCTAGTGTCTGCAGATGCAGAAGGCAGCAATAATTGGTGTAGGTCAACTTGCCTTTTTTCTTCATCTTTTCCTGTCACTTACAAAACACAGGCTTGAATCTGAACATAATGTTCCCTGGCAAGCAGTGCTAGCCTCCTTATCAGAGATAGATTACTGTCAAATATTTTTGTTTCCCATGACTCAAGAAAGGGAAAAGCCTTAGGGAGAAAACAAGGCATAGTTTCTAATATTGTTATCAGTCATTGGCAATTATTCTACAAAGATCAAAGGTAGCAAACATTAGAAATGCAAAATGGTGTGACTTCAGTGTTTGAAGAGAAAGCAATTAAGAAGTTCATTTTAAGGCTCGTATTTGATTTCAGGATTCATGCAATCATAACAAGAAATGAGTATAAAAATATGGGGGGGGGGGAACAGAATGAACAACCATATTTGTCAGCTTTCCTTAAATCTTTTACTGTTGTGATTTGTAATATTTACCTGTGTCCCAATATTAGCGTTGTATAAAGAAAAGCTTCCTCAGGAATAGCTTCCCCTTTGGACCAATTCCTTGGGAAGACATACAGCAATATAAACAAAAAGGGCAGAGGTTTTATGTCCCACTTAATGAAAGGAGTATGTACCTGAACTGTAATATTTTCACATACTGGAGTTTGTTTTCATATATTCTTTTAGTATTCTTTCCTCTTAGCATCATTATTTATTTTCCTAAACAAGGTAAGATTAGAATTTTGGCTTGAAATAAAACAGTAATAATATAACTACATGGAACTTACCATGTAAAGATAAGACACAGCAATGTAGATATTAAAATCAGAACTTGATTAAACATTGCAGACTGTGTGCGCTGGATGGCTCTATGAAGATCGTTCTATTTGAAAAGTCCAATCAACAACAAAATTATGAAACCAGCTGATTAAATAAAATTTGAGGCAGCAGTCAAGAAATATACAATTTTTTTTTTAAATGAAAAAGGTACTACAGCTAAATAATGAAACAGTTAATTGGGGTTTCTGAAACGAGGTGCCATCAAAGGTAACATTACCACTAAATGGCGGGGGTGTCTTTTCATACAGAATATCAGAAAACAAGTCAATAAACATCAACTAACCATATATGAAATAGTAATTCCTTAAAATTACATTCTAATTTGAGCCACTTATGGCTTAAGAAGTAAATAAGAAGACTTTAGATTCAGAAAGAAAAACAGTGGGTAATTTGGCTTCAATTTTACAATGTTTTCATGACAGGAAAAGGAACACATAATTCTGCATATTTTGTATCTTCTGGGGCTGAAGAACGAATAACCATAAGCCAACTACAGGTAGTCCTTGACTTACAACCATTTATTTTGCAAACATTCAAAGCTTCAATGTCACCGAAAAGTTAGTTACAACCAGTCCTCACACGTACGACTATCACAGCCTCCCTAGGACTGCTGTGATCAAAATTTGGGTGCCTTGCAACTAGCATGTTTTTATGACAGTTGCAATCCCCAGGGTCAAGTGAACAATATTTGTGACCTTCCCAAATGGTTTCTGACAAGAAACTCAATGGGAAGCTGGATTCACTTAATGACCACACAATTCATTTAACAACTACAGTAATTAGTTTAACAACCATGGCAAAAAAAACTGTGACTCACTTACCAATCCCCTTGTTTAGCAATGGATAGTCTGGTCTTAACTGTGGTCATAAGTCAAGAACTACCTGGAGTATGTAGTCACTGTATGATTAACAATAGTTTTATCTTCAAGGTTGACTCAGTCTTTTATCTTTCCAAAGTTGGTAAAATGAGGAGCCAGATTGTTGGGGGCAATATGCTGACTCTGTAAACTGCTTAGAGAGGGCTGTAGAGCACTGTGATATAAGTCTAAATGCTATTGCTATCTGTGACTAGAATGCCAAAAATCTGTAAAGCACGAAATGATTACTATTATTTCTATTCAGGAGATGGAAATCAAAATTTTAAAAAAATAATGGACTGTTCAATAAAGTCTGAAGTTAAATGAAAATTTTTGAACCCAAGCTAATCCTTATAATTACATTTGCCAACAGTATTGAAATTTGCATCATATAAAAAAGGAAGCACCATGATGCCTTTTAATAAGAACTTTTGAAAGAATCTTTTCAAAATGAATGCAGGCCTCCAAACCAAGTATACCAAGTATAAATAAATATAGTTCTTTCGCCATTTCCCTATATTTATTTTTCTCCTTCCCTCCCCCCCCCTCCAATTCTGCTTAGCAGCATAGTTTAAAAGCCAAGTTTAATTAGTGTTTATTAAGTTGGGACATGAAAAGATCTTCAGGTGGAGGCTAGGGAAAAAAATAATAATCAAAGGAATCAAAGGAATTTATGCTGGACCAATAGTTTTATTATCAAAATAGATAACACATTTGAATTCCCACACTAGATATACTTCTATAGTGTATAGAAGATAAAACAGGTGATGGGAAATACTAGCAATACAACATCAATGTTCAAAAAGCAAATAAGCTAAGATAACTGAAGTTAAACCAATTTAATTTAATTTACAGTGGCTTGAATCTAAAGACCATGGTTTTGCATAAATAGAAAATATGAAATTTCCCCCTTCAAACAAATCTCCTCTACTTTGTCATACTTACAATCATGTTCTCCAAAGCATGTTTAGCAAGCCAACAATTTAAAAACACTGGGATAAATAAATTTCTTAATGCAGGACAGAAAATCTAAAGGAAAAAAATATATAACATATTACATACATCCTCCAAACATTCATTCACTGTAATTGCATCTAAATACTGGGAAAAAATGGAAATACATCTAATATAGTTAAATTCCATATATCTGTGGTTTTCAACTTGACAACAACAAACCTAGCAAAACTATAACAGAGGACAATTCACCTGAGCAGGGACAATTTTGATATTTGGACCATTCTTTTTCAATCCCACTCTTATTTTTGATTAAAATTATTGTCCCAATATAATCTCCAGAAACATACTTCTGAAGTGAAGTTTACATTTAACCCAAAACCGATAGGACTGAATTAATCATGGGTTAATAGCTACAATTTGTGCCTCCCTAATTTTAAGTGTACTATAGTTTGCTTGTTGAGTTAGGATCAAAAAGTTATAAAATGGGGTATGTATGAGTGTGGCGGGGGAAGTTGATGATTTAAAAAAAGATTCCATAAGGCACTTTTAGTGCTAGATATTGCACAAAATGAACAGCCGATATCAGATTTCACAAGGGCTTTCTTCATTTTGAATTCTGATATCCATCAAACAGAATCATCTGCAAGTAACATGTAACACAAGTAATTTTGCCATTTTTCAATCTTCATGTATGATAGATTAGAAGGTGACTTGAAAGGCACAATCTGCATGGCAAAGGGATTAGTGGAATGCAATTGATGAAAAATTTATTTTCTGTTGCCATTACTAGCAATCAGAATCACCCAATCTTATCTCCAATGGACCTGCCCCCTTCTAAAATTCTTATACAAAGAATTGCTTCAATCTCTACTATGTAACTAATAAATAATCAATAATGGGGAAAATAATGAGGCTTCTTGAGAACTAGAGATCACATGTCATCTGTCCATTTTAAAATAAAAAAGCAAAAAAAAAAACTATCAAGGAATTTGTGCTGAGCCATTAAAATTGAATTGACCTCATAATTTTTCCATAGATTCACAGAAAACCTTGCTTCAAAGGTTTTTCTTTTCATGAATATAATTTTTCAATCTTCTAGTTGTTGTTTCCCCTTTTCTCTCCCATAAAAATCATAGATAAAAACTTACCGTAATGATGAAAGGAATAGCATTGATGATTTCCAGCAGAAAAGGAATGCGTACAACTTGTTCCCATATGTTTCCCTTTTAAAAATCAAGGTAAAATAAAATGCAACACTAATAGCCAGCAGTGATATTTCCCCCCATATTAATACCATAGTTCATCATGGGTGACACATAGTAGCATACAGGATTTATATATAGTTCATCGAGAAACATTCAAATTTCTTATTAGGCAAAATAGAGCTCTACATAGCAAATCCTTTTAAGAAGAAGGAGCTGTACTAATGTCATGTTTCACTAGATGTAAACCAACCAGCTCTCTCTTCTGTCCAGCTTATCTTAATATTCTCTAGAAAACTCTATTTCCTAATACGGTAGTTACAGGTACAGTAAATATCTATGGCACAAGTTTGTTAATGTATATGTGTGTCTGTACCGATATATTTCATGTATATATTTCATGTATGTATGTAGATAACCAGTATACAGATGTTCATATTGCACTCAAAAATGGGCAAGGTATGTAAGCCAAAGCACTATTTCAGTTAGTTGTGTAGTAATAGCAAAATAAATAAATCTGAAAAACACTCGTTTTATTTGAATATAAGAAGCATAGATAATTCAAACTTTTTCTAAGATTCCCATTTTTTATCATTGTCGTTATTAGAAATATAAAATGCTTCATAATATTTAAAAGAATAGAAAAACCTTGCTACAAAAACATATCAGAGTTCAAAGTAATAAATATTCAATTACATTTACAAGTCAAATGTTATCAATAAAGCAACAATATATTTTAATTTCTAATGTGCATGCAATACAGTTTCTGCATTCTTTTTCCTGATATTAAAATCTGCATCTCAAAAAATAGTATGTCACAGTATCTGGCAGAAATTTGTTTGAAAAAAAGTGCTACCATCAACTAAAATCAATCAATCAATCAATCCATCCATCTCGTCCAATTTGTATAGCCACTCATCTCATGACACAAGTGACTCTGGGTTGTGCATAACAAAGCAAAAACAACTAATAAATACCAATATTAGTTTCTGAATAAATATTTAGAAATAAAAAGATTTTAGGTGTGCATGGTACTTCAAGAAAGAGGGAAGTACACACATACACACACACATAAATTGTTAGGGTTTTTATTACATCAGATTTTAAAAATAGAAAATTCTGTTATTATCTAAATATTATACTTGAAGACTGCTATGCCTGGAGTATCGCCCTGCAAAAGAATGGATTACGATATACTTACTTTGTAACTGAGATAGCCCAGTAGTGTAGTTTCCAACAGACTTATTAAAGCCACTGATACCTATAGGAATAATATGCATGAGAAATTTGGCAATTTCTGAGGACTAAGCAAGCATGGAAAATATATCTGTAGAATTCAAAAGCAATAAAAACTACATGAACAACAAGCACAGAATGTAATCTTTAAATTTTCAAAATCCTTCCATTTCTTAATCTGTGCTTCATTGTATAATTCAGATGATAAATGCCTTTACATTTTGACGATCCAAACCAACAGTGCCAACATATGTTGTATTTTTTTCCTGTTCATTGACCAATATACAGATAAAGATTATCTCTTTTTCCCAGCATTGTAGACATTAATCATTCAGCAACAGTTAATTTGTTAAGATGGAATATTGATCCATACAATAAGTCAGTGAACAGAAAGTGTCTTGCCATATCAGAATGATTTTGACCTGAATTTGATTTATTTCAGTATTCTTTTTCCAATACTGACCAACTTAATACATCTGGCTTGCCAGAAACATAGTATGAACTTTATAGCTTCCCACTGCTATTTGACACCAGTGTCCAATATTCAGAAACCTTCCCTTATTTTTATACAATAGACAATAATTAACAACTGAAGGCAGCATTACAGAGAATCAGTAGCATTAACATCATACATAGAATTGATAGAATTGTGTTTCATCCACTACCTGGGCCATTTGCCAATATGCTAATGCTTCACAAAATCCACTCACTTCTTTGGAATTTGTTCAGGTTTTACCTGTATTATACTGAAATTAATAACAGTTGCAGAGTAGCATTGCTCAGTGGCTTATATTTACAAAATCATTATAAATGCCAAGCTATATTATCTAAGCTGATACCTTGATTCCTGAATAAATTTGACTCTTTGCAGGTCTTAAAATACAGTTATGTTATAAAATATTTTTTTATATCACTTCAAACTAGCACAGCCCCATTATTTTCAAATCTGGTATTAAAAACAAAACAAGTGGCTTGGCTACCCAATCTTCTAAGAACTGATATTTGCAGAAACATGATATTACTGAGTATGGAATTCTAAATAAAAGGTTAGCATGAACAATTCTAATTTTGAACTGCCATCCTAAATTAATGAATGACCAGAATTTGGAACAAAAGCATAATCAAGATTCAGCACAGATATTACAAGTTGTGAAGGTATAGAAACATCAGCAAGGTTGAAAAAATGTTGAAATGGCTCCAAATAAGTAACACTAATTCTAGCAGAAGTGAATTAGATGCTGCAATTTGCATGCTTCATTTTGGTGACAAGGTCTTTAGAATTCTAAGCATCTCAACTCCCTTTTTACGATCCTGTAATCCCTTAATTTGGGGTACAGTCTGAGCGACTGGATGGAGTGGAGCATTTACTGGCTGGATGCTCTTCCTGATGCCACATGGCATCACAGCAGATGTTTTTTCTTTGTGCCCAAGAAGAGAAACATCTGCTGCTACCTAGGATTGAATTCTAAATCTTCCAAGGGGGAGGTGAGTGTCTTCACCATTAAGGCACTTAATTCTAAGCATCTCAACTTCACTGTTAATTATTTAGAGGGCAATAAAATCTTACAACAGTTGCATGTGCCGCATATTATAGGCAACATGTTCCTGAACCAATAATTTTAAAAATAAGAAGTCATATCAGCTATAGAAACTACTATTACTATCTAGTCAACAGGAAATTCTACATTGTTCAGCAGGGCTATTGCTGCACTCCTATTTTCATGTGTTACAAAAGATGTGAAAGAACAGAAGGATTGGGCTTGAAGCATTTCCCTTAACCTTACAAGGAGGAGGAAATTCAATAGTGTTACTAACTTCTTGTCAAGGAAGAATAACGTGTCTATATGCTCTGGTAGGAAATACCTTCCCATTCCAAATGTGCTCAGGCATAGAGATAGTCTAGATCTCAGTACCAAATAAAAGAATTAATGTTATTAATTCATAAATTGGCAGGATTTATTTTTATTATATTATTATATCAATTTATATCGCCATCAAACTCACAATTGTGACGCAGGGTGGTAAACAAAAGAAACTCTAAGGGGAAAAAGAATAGTAAATATCTGAAGTCAATATTCCAAAGCTGATACAGCAGCAATTTCAGAAACATAAATTCAAGCAAACAGAAAAGATAAGGAGGATGGGGGCGAGAGGGAGAAAACACTTTCTTCCCGGATCCTTTTGAAGGGCCATTAAGCAGCAGCGTATAATTCCAGAATACACAAAATGCACTAGTACATCTAAGTGGTAGAAATGTAATAATAGGAAAAATAATAATCAGTAGGCAAAGAAACAAGCCCTGAAGTAAAATTAGTTCTGACGATGCAATAGTATATCTACCTTCTAAAGTTCTTTACAAGTGAGAAAAGGCAAATGAAGGAATGACATAATCAACACTGCATAGTTGGATTTTGAAAAAGCTTCTGACAAAAACTTGGTGCTCAAGGAATAAGATGCACTGTTCTTTATAGATTGTTAGCTGAGTGAAAAAAACAACAACCATGAAGTGAAGTGTGGGGATAAATGAACAATTTTCTCAGTGGAAGGAAATAAGAAGTGGAGTACCACAGAGCTCTCTGCTGAGATTGGGACTTCTTAATTTATTCATAAATTATCATGATCTAGGCTAAGAACACTGAGCTGCCTAAATCTGCAAATGATACCAAAGTATTCAAATTGATGATAATGAAAGTGTTTGTGAAGAGCTACAGAAAGGAAATTTAAACTGGATGAGTGGGCAACCAAATAGAAAATACAGTTCAATGTACGTTAAATGTGAAAATTAAGCATGATATGCAGAAAATGGACAGGGAGAATTTCTCAAAAATAAAGACAGAGATGATTCAATGAAACTGTTTAAAGTTTTAAATTTAATACAGCAACCACAAGCAACCACATTTTCCCACAAAACCCATAATTAATTTGTGGAGTTCCATATTACAAAACAGGAGGATGGCCACTAGCTTAGTTTGTTTAAATACTGATCAGTTCATAGAGAATAGATCTCCAAAGGTTATTGATTATGCACTGTTACCTAGGTTTGGAGTCTCCAAATATCACTGGCAAGAGAACAACAGTGCAAGTGTTATAAATCTCCTCCTCCTGCTTTGAACTCTACTGAGGCATCTGGTTGGCCACTGTGACATCAAAGTGCTGCACTGAAATGGCTTAAATCAACATATGAATTTCTATCTTATCTTCTTATGGTTTTACCAACCATCCAGATTGAAGCTCTTTTGTAATTGTGCAGTTCTTGGTGTTCTCTGAACTTTATTACCATACTAGGTAATGTCATCAGTACATCTTCTGTAATTAGTTCTACAGGTTAACTAAATATTACTTTCAGGATATAAAAGTTGCAAGAAATAGCAGTCATACATCTATCTCCAGATATCTCTACACATCTCTTGTGCAACATCTATTAAGGCTTCTATTGTGACTTAGTAACACAATAGAAGTTTCCTCTTCTGTCATCACTGAACAAGTAACAGGAAAATCCTGAATGCCAAGCAAATAGTTTGGCAGATGATGCTATCAATATGGCACTGCACTACATCTTGCAACATCTTGAATCCCCAGGGATTCAAGTCCTTTTGTTGACTTCAGCTCAGCTTTCAATACCATCTTTCCAAAATTAAAACAACACTACTGTAGGATATTGCCTATCAAAACAACTAGACAAAAGAAACAGTTTTCCCCTTATGCCATCACTCTGCTGAACACCTAACTCTTACAGTACTAATATTTATCTATATTTATCTGTCTTGCATGGCTGTAGTATTACTATTATCCTTCTTATCTTCTTTACTACCCTGTTTCTCCAACAATACGGCCTCCCCCAATAGGAAGTCCCAGCATGTTTTATAGGCATGAAATAAAATTAAGCCCCTCCCCCCAAATTAAGGCCTATATTAAAACATGCGAAATGGGGGGGAATGGTGGGGGGGCTTGCCGTTAGGAAGTACTTTTGTTGCACACCCGGATATGGTGCTGCCTGCGTTGACCCCGATACGAAGTGCCCCACCAATGCCGAGGTCAACATCCAAGCCGTCACTGCCTGCCCGAAGATGCAAGGGGGGGAATTAAGTCACCCCCAAAAAGATGGCCTAGCCATTTTTGGGGGGCTCAAAAAAAAAAAAATAAGACCCAGCCTTATATGAGAAACACGGTACCTCCTCCTATTATTATTATGATTGTTATTACTCTGTTGCTTTGCATGTACATGGACAGCTTTTTGCACTAGAGACAAATTCCTTTTTTGTCTGATCACACTTGGCCAAATAAAGTATTCTGTTCTGTTCCATTCCACTCCATTCTCCATTCCATTCCTATTACAACACTGGGTAATAACTGATCATTTACTTTTAACTAGAGTTTTTTAGTGTCTTTCTTGAATTAAGCCATTTGGGTTATGCCTTTGTACACAGCTCCATTTGGAAAACTATAGGTCTAAGCATGATTTGGGAGTACACTGACCGTCTTTTATACTGGATAACTAGTTGTGGCTTCTGCAGAACACCTTCAGTTTCTAAAACTGATACACCATATCCAACAGGACAGTAAAGTCATCTGAGAGCAGATGGGGTATGAAGTAATTGTGTGAATTCACAGATGACTGTGGTGAATAGCAATTATGAGTAAATGACCGATTCTTCATTCCCTCTGGGGTTCAAATACATAGCTGAATATAAACCTTCTTTCTGAATGAAAAGATGATGAGACTGAAAAGTGAACAATGTGTTTAAATGGTTTTTTTT